CCCCAAAACCCCAAAACCCCAAAACCCCTTATTAAGCTTTATTAGTAGAAATCTTATTAAAAATCTTTTAGGAAATGGAAAATACAGGTGACTCAAAAGCTCTTTTTGCGGGCATTGGAATTGGAGCAGTCTCAGTTGGAGTTCTCTCTCTTCTTGCCAAGAAGTTTTGTTGCACTTCTCAAGAAGTTGAGAAAGCATTAGAAGCTCCTATTGAAGGAGATATTAAAAAGATTCTTGTATGAGGATCAGGAATGATGACTCCAAGTCTAATCCAATACCTTATGAGAAAGAAGAACTACGTCATCACTATTGCTAGCAACATTTTGGAAGATGCGAAAGCCATAGCAGATGAATACCCAGGAAGAGCTCACTCCTGCTATTTAGATGTATCTAATGAAGAGGCTACAAAGGAATTGGTAGAGCAGAATGACATTGTGATTTCTTTCATCCCACCTTTCCTCCATCCTAAGATATTCAAAGCATGTGCAGATGCTAAGAGAAACCTTGTGACTGCTTCCTACATCTCAGAGGAAATGATGACTTACGATGAACAAGCTAAAAAGGATGGCCTTATCTTCCTCAATGAGTGCGGCTTAGATCCAGGAATTGACATCATGTCTACTATGAAAATTAAAGACGAAGTTGAAGCTCAAGGTGGTAAGATTACAAAATACGAAAGCTGGTGTGGTGGTCTTCCATGTGCTGAAGACTCTGATAACCCACTAGGATATAAATTCTCCTGGGATCCTAAAGCAGTCTTCAAGACCTCCAGGAATCAAGCTACCTTCTTAAAAGACGGAGAAGTTATTAATATCCAGCCTGATGATCTTCTATCGGAGGGAACAAGAGTTAAGGATTACGTCAAAGCACTAAACCTAGAAGGATATCCTAATAGAGATAGTTTAGCATTCAAAGAAGCCTTTGGTTTTAAAGATGCTAAGACGTTTGTCAGAGGAACCATTAGATATGGAGGATTTAGGATCATCATGAGAGCTTTACATCAGATTGGAATTACAGAAGCTGTCCAGGAGATCGATCAATCCAAAATTAAAACATTAAGAGCTCTCACTGAATCATTCGCTGAAGGTATTGATGCTAAAGTAGAAGACTATACAGAGCAACTCAATTCAGCTTCAATTACCGATGAGGAGGACCAAAAGTTGATTAGCAAGCTTCTCCAAAAGATTGACAATAAAGATAATATTGTTGACATTATCAACTCATGGAAATTCTTCGAGCTATTGAACCCAGACAGAAATATTGAAGAAAGCTGGAAAACTCCTCTTGATGCTCTCAGCGCTATCTCTCTTGAGAAAATGTCATACGGAGAAGGAGAAAGAGATTTTGTTATCATGAAACATATCTTCGAAATTGAGACTGCTGAAGGTGAAAAGAAGACTCTCCATTCAACAATGCTTGCAACAGGAGATAAAGTTGGCTCAGGTGGTTTAACTGTCATGGCTAAAACCGTTGGATTTGCAGCAGGAGCAGCTGTAAATCTCATCCTGGAGGGTAAGATCAAGGCTAAGGGAGTTTTGTCTCCTAAAACACCTGAATTTTACAACCAAATTCTCCCCATCTTGGAAGAAGATAATATTACTTTGGTAGAAGAAGAGGTCTAAGATAAATCTAAAATATTATCTAATTATTGGCTATAAATTGTCAATACTTTCTTGCAGAAAGGGGTTTTGGGGTTTTGGGGTTTTGGGGTTTTGGGG